TTCACCGAATCTACTGGTGCCGTCTAAGTCAACGTAACATGCAGGTGTCTATGCACGCCATGTCGAGGACTTAAAGCTGTCGCCCGAGTCGCAATACATCCATAGTGTCATTACTACTCCTGATGGCCGCGTGCTCATTATTACCATGGTACCTTATCTGGCGAATTTGGTGCACGTCGCGCGGACCGTTCAGGTGGATACAACATTCGGGCGTACCGTGGGGGATCTCAATGAGTGGGAGCTTGTTATCTGGTATGGAAGTGTTGAGCGCGGTAAGTCCATTATTCTCGTCGCCGTCATTCTTTTTGATCACCCCCGCGGCAGTTCTCACTGTTGGACGTGTTTACACAGACGGGGCCGATCGCCCCCATTATAAGTACCTGTTCGATGAGCTTCAGCGCATCATTTTCCGGCTCACTGGAAAGCATCTTCGCTTCAAACGCTTCACGCGTGGCGGGAATCTAATCACAATGGGAGTTGATCTGGAGGCCGCACAGGTTCAAGGTGCCAGTGATTCCTTCCTTCCCACCAACGAGCCCGAATACAGTGGGATAACCACCGACGACCCGGACGAGTTCGCAATGTACTATGTCCGGGCTTGCATTTCACATGCCAAACGGTATGTCGTTTGTTACAGGTGCTGGAAAGATATTCTGACCATCAACGTTTGAAGTGGGGTTCATGGTCTAAAGCGCTACGTTACCGACGATGTCTTCAAGCGTCTGATGGATTTCCTGTATCTCAAGACCGAGGAAGATCTCGCTGCGTTTACGGCGTGGATAGGTACGTTGAAGATCAAGAAAGTTCAAGGTGCGTCGTCAATACTTTACGCGCATCAGCACTTATTTAATTCAGATTGGTGGAAACACAAGCTCCAATACCCGTGGATCAGACCATCTCTCATCAAGACTCTCTCCCGAATCCACCCCGACGACTGGGACATCACCGACGCGTCTACCAACCTCAATGAAGGCCAGCACCATTGGACTAACCAACAGACCGGTGTTCATCTCACAATTCTCGAGGCAATTGAAACGTAAGTCTTTGCTTCATTGAGTCGCTGTCGTACTCAATCCTCCGCAGCGCTCGCAGAGTCGACTTTAAGACGGCCCGCGAAGTCCGAGACAGCCTCGAGACCGGTCTGCTCGACAACAACTCCAACAACATGCTCCACCGGATGGGCCGCAACGTTCAACGCAAATCCAACAGTCTCGCAAAACAACGGGCCGTCACTGAAAAGAACGCCGAAACGGACGAGCTTCAGGCGGATGTGGACGCCCAGAAGGCGGCCAAAAAGGTACAGGATCAGAAGGTAAAGGATGCGCAAAGTGCGCTTTCTGCGGCCAAGGGGAAATCAACGCGGCGGAAACCAAGTAGGTCAATGACTGGGAATGTCCCGTTGCTCGAGGCCTCGTCCTCGGGTCGTGTACTTTCCCCTCGGCACCGCGCTCGCACCGCTTCCATGTCGTCCGCAGTCTCGGCTGGGCCCCACATTGACGAGACTCCCGCCACCGTCGCAATTCCGGAGCTGCCGTTCCCCGAACTTCCACCTGCACCTACCCCCGTCGACTCTACGCAGCCGTTCATATTTACCGGTGACCTGGCGTGGCTCGAAACCTTTCAATTTGGGTCCAACGTGTCCCAGCCTCCCGCTCCTGTCGGCAATGTTGACATCGTTGCTGCTGCTGCGCTCGATAGTCTCATGCTACCTGATAACTCTCAGTTTGACGCAGACACGGAGTTTACGTGGTTTCTTGCGAACCTTGCCCACGGCGGCGGTGATTTTGCGACAACCACGCCAATCCCTCAATACGACTTTGGAACATGGGACGGACGGGCGCCTGATTATTTCGCTCCACCTCCTTCGGACGGGGCGGGCGGATCGGTCTTTGACGGGTCATACACGGGGGTCGGTTCGATTACATCTGACCTTCCCAATTTACCCCTCCCGCCCTCGTCACCCGCCTACCCGCCATCATCGTCACCCAACCATCCGCAAACGCCCATCGAAACCCTTAACGCCGACGTTGACGAACGCAATATTGTGCACTCTGCAAGAACTCGCAATCCCCCTAAACGGATGTTAGAGAACCTGGAGTCTTCCGCTGTGCAAACTAAGACCAAAAAACCGAAAAGCAGGCGGGTGAGTCCCTCCCTTTATTTATTCATCGCCGCCTTCTCACCTACTTCATAAGTAAAATAATGTATTCGGGACGGTGCGATTGCGCTCAAAAGTAGAATTAGTGTCTCTGAATATACTTGTATTTGCGCCGCTGGGAAAATGATATTTGTGTCACGGTAAAACCCGAGAGTGGCGTGTCTGAGGCAAGTGCGCCAGAGTGGCGTGCTTTCCACCACAGTGGCGTAACAATTTGCGCGGCTGTCTATGAGTCTGAGTCTGAGTGTGGCTCAGTTGGGTGATCCCCCTGGAAGTATAAAGGACCACCTGGACCAGAGCGATAACCAGAATCCTCCCTCCGCTAAGCAACTTTTACTCAACCCAACTCAACCACCTACACCTGTTAATCCCACCCAGTATGAAGACCACTGCCTCCCTCGCACTCTTCGTCGCTCTGGCCACCAATGTCGCCGCCATTTGCCCCGGCTTCAACTTTGGTATCGGCCTCCAGATTTATCTCGGTGACGGCATCAGCCAATGCAAGCTGAATGCCAGGCCCACTAGAACGTCTGGCTGATTTGTTTGTGTTCTACACAGGGAACGTCTACGACGACAGCTGCAACCGAGTCGACGGGCTCATCACAGGCCAGAACCCTTGCACTCAAGGGATCTTCGGATGCAGCCCCGCGCCCATCATCTTCAATGAATACACCAACACGTTCACAGGTCTCAGGTGGGTTCCTTACTTTCTCTATACTCGATGGATACTGATATCGGCCATTTAGATATGCTTGCCGTACTGACCCCAACTCCGGAATTTGCGGCAACAACGTGATCTCAGTCTGCGTCAGTATCCCTTTCAAAGACCTAAGAAGTCATAGGCTGACCTCGATTTCCTTTCAGTGCCGCAATGATGGGAATTAAATAAAGACGGAGTCACAGTAGTACACCTTCAAGTTATCGAATGTTCCTCCTGTAAACTGCCGACGAGATAAATCCCTTGATTGTGAAATCCAACTCCCTCCGTCGGCAACTTCAAATCGGCGCACAAGTGGCCATAGTCTATTCTCTCGCTAGAAAAAAAGAGGTGCTCCGTATTGGAGCCCTTGTTCTCGTTCGTCAATCGGGAAAAAGTATGCCCAGTGCAACGAAACTCATTTACGCACCCCCTGAGACTCCGGTTGAGAACTCGATGCTTCCCTTACCTCGCGGCTTACCCATATCTACCAATAATGAAGAGGCAGACGTGCTTCGATCCGCGCGTGCCGTGAATGCTTGCGAAGGTAGCCTTTGGCGTACGTGGCACGGGCATCCGAAGGGTATAAAGGATCACCTAGACCAGAGCGATAACCAGAATCCTCCCTCTGCCGATTCTATCCCTCGAAGATGGTGAACATCAAGCTCTCTGCTCTCCTTGCTTTCACCCTCGCGGCCATCGCAATCGCTGGTCCTGTCGCTCACACAACTCCGGTTGCGCACTGAGAGGTCCCCGGCGCAGACACGGTAAACCCACAGTACTGCTGTGTACGCAAGCCGCTGACATCCGTTCAAAGGTCGATCAGCGCGACGAGTTCGCCTTGTTTGGCTGGGATCGCCGCGGGACCCCCGCGGCCGACAAGGTACGCCCCGAGCACCGTTCTGTGTAAATCAGCCATTGACGCCCATCTGAAGGTCGTCGAGGAGTTCAATATGTGCACCACCTGTTGAAAATGTCGAGGCTCCGCACGGCGCGGGCGAGAGAGGTGGTGAGTCTCGTCTCCATATCATATCATCGACTAAGCGCACCGTGCATTTTAGTTGTTATAGTTCATGGTCTCCTCTCTTCCCTTTAGTTAGTGTTGTGTGTTCGATGTTGCGTTGGTGTACCGTACAGTGCCGTGAATGCACAGTTGCTTGTCGTGCGCTGGAGCCGTGAGTTGCATTCACTCAGCGACCTCGGGTGCGCTGCACAATATTCACGGCTAATTGCGGAGTGGTACGCAACTGCCTTGCACCTGGAGGGACAAACGCGGCATGGACTGTTGGGCGGTGTTGCGACTTCTTTCTTCCCTCTGCAATTCCATCCCAACAGTCAGCGCGGCCGTGAATGTGAATGTCTGTGGTGCCCACTCGGTCGGGGAGGGTTTGGACACTAAATTATCGTGAGATACGATCTTTCGCGCAGCGCAATGATACTCCGCAACTAACCCGCCCCGATATCCGAGACGTAGCAAAGAATCCGCATGGAATCCGTCCTAGATGAATCTATAATTAAACAGTTGTCCACGGCAGCGGCAGGGCTCTGTAGGATGGTTTACACACCGCAAAAATGGATAATTTTCCGGCATATGAACGGTGCAGCGCTCAACACGAGCAGTTGGTCGCAATATTAAAAGGCGGACGCCACCCGCCTCAAAAAATTAATTTCTCACTTGACTGCAAGTACTTAGACTTCCGAGTTGCGCGCCGCTGGGCGATTTGACCTGGATATCGCTGAAGGGAAGGCGGGATCTCCGCAAGGGAGGGCTGAACCGCGACATGTAGGCGAATTTACAGCATGAAAGAGACGGAGCAGGCACGTATGAGAAAACAAAACAAAAGACACAGCTCCTGACTCAGCGATCCAAGCCCGATTCGAACGGGCGTTTCCTGCTGGTCAAGTCATTCTTCTCAACGTATAGAGGTGCGGGCCGATCCGCAATTGGACCTGCTCAGTGTGCAGTCGCGCCGAGACACATGGGAGAGGTTCACGCCAGCCCGTATTGACGGACCGAAACACCAGAAGACGCGGACAAAGAAACTTGAGGAAAACAATTCATTAGGAGTAATGGACGGAGGGGCATGGAATCTTCAGAGGTACGCACCGATCTTCGCCGAGAAAAGGATGCGCCTCATCAATGCACGGTCCAAGCCCGAGTCGAACGGGCGTCCTCCTGCATGCAACCAGTGCTCACTACGAAATTAACGTACGCAGGCGCGGGCCACTCCGCAATTGGACCTGGATTCTAGACAATGGAATCTGGATAGGTGGGTGAGTAATCGTGTCAAATTTAAAAAGGGCAACGCACCTCGCCTCTGGAATTCGCGGGGCGCAGAGCATCGTAAAGGAAACGTATTTTTTTTATTCCACCTCTGAATCCCGTGGCGAGCACAGACCCAAAAGAAAAGGAAAAACAGTGCACTCTCGGCACGGCCCAAGCCCGCGTCGAACGAGCGTCTCCTCACGCAGCCAGTGATCACTACGAAATCAACGTGTGTAGGCGCGGGCCTCTCCGCAATGGGACCTGAATCCTTGACAGTAGGACGTAGATAAGTAGATGCGCTGCAGTGGAGGGGAGGGGTAGGCGATGTGAGTTGAATGCAATGGAATGCAGAGGGAGTGGTCAATGGACGACAGCGTCAGCAAGGTGGGCGTGTACGCCGGGGCCGGGACGCCGGCGGGAGGACACGGCAAGGAAGCGGCGGCCGCCCGGGGAAAAAGCGGCAGAAGCGACGCGGCCCAAGCCCGAATCGAACGGGCGTCTCCTGCAGGTAAGCATTGGTCGTCCAAGCTATGCAGGTGCGGGCCGCTTCTCAATTGGGCCGGCGTGGTGTGCGGCGGGACCTCGATGCGTAGCAGGGTGAATGTGAGGGGAGGAGGCGATGCGGACACGGCAGGGAGCGGCTGGTCGATAGAGGAGAGCAGCGAAAAGACGCGGGAAGGGTTCGCGCGCGCAGGATAGTCGGCGGGAGACGTAGGCAGCGGGGTCGACATCGCGCTCGGAATGCGAAGTGTGCGGCGACAACGGGACATGCATACGGGAGGGCACTGAAGATTCCGCTCTACAAGATGGTGGGCGCCAAGCAGGGTTCGGCTGAAACCATGCCGAAAGCCACGTGGCCGGCCAGTTGGAATGATAGCCGATCTGTTCCCGCCAGTGACCACCACCTCCTCGCTGCCGTCTCGTCACCTTCTCCACAGTAGTACTAGACTAGATTTAGATGCGCTGTTCTCGGATGTCTTCTGGTCCTGCGTCTCCTAGTATGATGCTGACTTGGTTCCTGTATCATCCAGCGTAAAAGCTCCTCGAGGAACACTCCGCTTTCGGCCCGGTTAGTTACCCAGCCGCCTTTACTTCCGCATTCGGATACCCATAACCTCCGCCTCCGATCCCGCCCTCATCTTCGTCTGCCATATCTGAGCCTTGTGCCTCATGATACATTCTGTCTTCTTCTGGTGAACCAGCCTCTTCCGCTCCTCGCACAGCGCGCATTTGATCCGCGTCGAAAGCTGCCCCGTAGCAAGCGTCCGCCGAATCGCTGTCCATGTCCCAAATCTCAGCAATCTAACCAGGTTGAGCTGCTGGCTGTTGAGGTCCAATTGTGGAGAGGCCCGCCCCTGCTCTGCGTTGGATAGAGCGGCGCCAATAGGGAGGCAGGCGACGCCGGTTCGAACCCGGCTTGGACCCGTGGCTTAATACCGCGATGGTTTTGCTTCGATTTTGTTTTGCGAATCGGTCGGAGGCGCCTCAGGAAATCACGTTTAACCCTCGGGAAATCACTTTCGGAGCGGGACGCCCGCCGCGGCACAGTCCCCAGCTCCTGCCTATCACATTCACCACCTCCTTGCTTATCACCTTCACCGCTCGATTCCCGAAGGTCGTCTGTGGCTGGGTGCTGGTCGACGGGCGCGGGGGGACTTCACATGCATCTGTCCGTCCAGCTTCGCCTCATGAACCCTATGAATCTAATGGCAGCCAGGTTGACGTGCACGTTATTCAGGCCCAGGTGCGGAGCGTTGCGCCCCTGCGTCGTATTAAAAGTTCTTATCACCGTGCAGGCCACCCCCGGCTCTGCCCATGGTTAATCCGGCCTGCGTGCGTTCTTAAGGGCGTTGTGTGAACTCCCCTGTCGCTCTCAGTGTCGCCCTCTCCAGCGTGGCTTTGGTAATAGACAGCAGGAAGCCATCGTCGACCAGAAGACGGACATCCTCGCAGCGTACTAATTCTCCCGCCGATCCGAGAAAGACGTGGGTTCCCCTGGCATGCAATAGGGCGCCTCATTTTTCTCGCTCGGAGTACATTCAAATTTCTACTAGATGCTCATCTTCCCAAATCAGGTCTTTAAATCTCGTGATCGCACTCCCACGGCCGCTGGCGTTCCCATAAATGACTATTTTCCAAGCCCGCCGATCTCGTTACAAATGAAGAAACTCTCTTGATACGCCTTGGACACAGCGGTTTAACGCGGTTTTTAATGCTTCCGGCGAGATCCTGTTTTTATGGAATTCGGTCACATGATGTGGTTGAACGATTGAGCGCGAGGTTGAGCTCTGGGGGGCATATTACCCAGCACAGCCAAGCCCGATTGTACGCTTGCCTCAATTCAGACCTAATAACCATTTTTCGAGAATTTGATGATCTATGTTACCCATCGAACCAGCCTATTTTCGGCTGTCAGAATCATTCAGGCAAAATAGGCCTCCCCAGTCGATCCAAAGCATCTGGAATCTGCAAGGAAGCTGCGCGGAGCATGTCACGGGTCTGTTTTTTATAAACAACCCTGCTTACAAACCAGGTTTATACACCGGTTTCTGATTCCCCAGGAGTTATAAACAGTACCCTATCAATCAGCGCAAGGCGCGCAGCGATTGATATCGAGTTCTGGAGCACGCCCGAGCGCTCTACCACGAAAGCTCAGGCTTGTATGTGAACGTATACAGTATCTCTGCGCCCCATCCTTCCGTTCGGCGGAGGTTCTTCCCATATCTCGATTTGGCGCCAAGCCGAGTAATTTACCCATGAACGTCAGGACTCTGCCAAGGGCTCGAATGGCAGATATATCAACCCCATGACAGAAGTTGGGCTGCGACGACGTACAAATAGTCCGGTCGATTGCGAGACCTCCGTTCTCTTCCCACATCGCTTTCTGGCACTGATCATGCACCACCCGCTGACTCGCCAGCCGACCCGCGATAGCCTGCGTAGCTGGTGGTCAGACAGGAACCCACTAGGTCCAAACATCGACCTCCATGCGGCCGCGAAGCCGTTGATGCGATTCATGTATCGGCGCGACGTATTGGCCTTCATCGCAAAAACCCGCGGTAGTCCGCTCTCCAGAGAAAATATGGAGATTTATTCAAGCTATCTTGCGTATGACGTTGCGGTATTCGTTTGCCCAAATACTTTCGCTGACTGAGCGCCAGTTATAAATATGTGTCTTCATCCACCAAGACCACCATTCTGATCCACCTCCAGGCAAGAGTCGAAGATGACAGCGACGCAGATGCCGTCGGGGACTCACTGGTGCTACATCTCGCCGACGAATTACTTAGCTCGCCCAATGCGGGGGTTCGTAGACCGATGTGCAGGATTTTGGCCATTTTAGCACGCCGCGAAACAACAGGTGCTGCTATCTTGCGTAGGAATCTCTGCCCCCGGCTCGTATCTCTCTTGCAGTGAGTCTCTCGGATGACTCTGTGTAGACCAGGGAGTGATTATTGAGCTTCAAACCAGCGATACTGATGTCGAGGTCATCAAGAGTGCGGTGCAGGGACTGCGCTGGTTATCCAAACGGCCTGATGGCGCACAGGCTGCCGTGGACGCAAATGTGCTGCACTCCTTGGCCGAGCTGTTTGACTCCGGAAATGGGGAGATCAGGGCCTGGATGTGTGACATGCTGGAGGATCTCGCCCGTCTCCCCGCCACAGCCACAGCCGTCTTGGAACTGCTCGTATTGCTCTCCTTGTCAGTCCCAATTTTGGATTTTGGACGGATGTTAACTTTGAACGTAGTGATGACAATCCTTGTATCGTGGACGGCGCAGTGAAGCTTCTCGAAGAGTTGGGTCACCACGCAATCACAGAGAGGCTGGCTCTGAGACAGGTGGTATCTCTCCTTCGGTGAGTGCCACGTTCCAGCTGCTCGCGAATACCATGTATAGTTTGCCTTAGGAGCGAGGATCCCCCAATTTTCCAGAAGGCGGCGCGGATATTGTCTCACAAAATCAAATCATCCGAAGGCGCGCAGATCGTCGTGGAACTAAATTTGTTGGAGTGTCTGCCGGAACTGGTGGACTCGCCGAACGCTGCGATCCGGAACTGGACGTGGGACATCCTGCAGCATCTCACGCACCACGAGACCACGGCACCGGCAGCTCTGGGACAGCTGGTAACATTTTTGCGGTGGATCCAATCCTACTGTTACTATACAAGACATTAATGTTATATCCAGGCACGACAACCCCGACGATGTCGTTTCGGGTGCGATGGAAGTACTGTCTTACATTGCAACATCACCCGAGGGTGCTCACGCCGCCGTCAATGCTGGTGTATTAACATCTATGATACAGTTGCTGGAATCCTCCACCACCGGAATAAAGGTCCGGACATGTGAGTTGCTGGCTAAACTTGGATTGCACAAGTCCGCGAGGGACGCTGGCTGGCAGGCAAAGCCCTGCCGTCCACTTGTATCCCTCCTGCGGTGAGCAATATTTATATTCCCCGAGAAACAGTCTTCATTTGAGTTCAGTGACGAAAAGCAGATCGTGGTTGATAGGGCAGCGAACGCATTGGCCATACTCATCAGATCCGAGGAGGGGGCGCACGCTGCCGTTGACGCAAAAGTTGTCGACTGCATGGACGAACTTCTCGCATCTTCGGATCCACAGATCTGCAGCCGGGCTTGTCAGATCATAGAAGCGCTGGCAAACCACGGAACGACTGCACCGGCCGTGTTGAATGTAAAGGTCTGCATACGATTAACATCGCTCCTGAGGTGAGTCCTTGTCTGTGAGATAATGCAGTGTTCATGCTTGGTCGCGCAGGCACCCCGATCCCCCAGTCCGCGAAAGTGCAATGGCCGCCCTAGCCCAAATTTACGAAGTCCCGGGCGGCCTTGCGGCTATTTCGGCCTCAGATTTCTTGGCGGTCGTCGGGCACTTGATGCGGTTCGTAAATCACAAAGTCCCGTTCAAGGATGCTCTCCAGCATTTAGTTTGAATAATAATGTCCTTACTCACG